AAAAAAGAGAGAGAGAGAAAATGGAGGAACATTTAAGTCTTTCCTTAAGACAGAGATGCCTGTCTGGAGGCTGGACGTGTGTTCCAGGACCACATTCCCCGATCTACTCTCTCAAATCTCTGCATGGCCCCATGCTCACCATCCCTCGGGCCTGGGCTTTGGGATAGGCTCAAATGATTCTCATAGCCCTACCTGTTTGCAAACACTATGAACTCAGAAAAGCAGAGGCTACATCAGTGTGTGTGTGTGTGTGTGTGTGTGTGTGTGTGTGTATGCGCACCAGTACTGGAGCTTGACAAACCCATAGTCTGAGTTCTGTCCTTTAGCTTTTTTGCTGAAGGCTGGTGCTCTACCCCTTAAACTATACCTCCACTTCCAGGTTTTTTGCTAGTTAATTAAATATAAAAGTCTCACGAACTTTCCTGTCTGGGGATGATTTTGAACCTCAATCCTCAGATCTCAGCCTCCTGAGTAGCTAGTATGACAGGTGTGAGCCACGGGCACCCAGCCCACAGCAAGTTTGGGTTTTTTTTTTGTTCGTCATGGGGCCTGAACTCTGGGCCTGGGTGCTGTCTCTCAGCTCTTCAGTTCAAGCCTAGCATTCTACCACTTGAACCACGGTGCCACTTCTGGCTTTTTTTCTTTTTGCTTATGTGGTGCTGGGGAATCGAACCCAGGGCCTCATGCATGCAAGGCAAGCACTCTACCACTGAGCCATCTTTTGTTTTGTTTTTGTCTGTCATGGGGTTCGAACTCTGGATCTGGGCACTGTCCCTAAGCTCTCTAGCTCAAGGCAAACACTCTACCACTTGAGCCACAGTGCCAGTTCTGTTTTTCTGGTGGTTAATTAGAGATAAGAGTCCCACAGACTTTCCTGCCGGGGCTGGCTTTGAACCATGATCCTCAGATCTCAGCCTCCAGAGTAGCTAGAATGATAGGCGGGAGCCACAGGTGCCCAGCCCAGAGCAGGTTTGGTATTGAGATTTACACAAGGTTAAGGACACAGGCTAGGCAGGGGCTGGGGAGAAGAGGGCAGTGGGACTGGGGTGCTATGCGGGCTGAGAAGGGGCAGTCAGACACAAAGCCAGTCAAGGGACAAGGCTCAGCATGGCCAGAGCCACGCCTGACAGCCTCAGGACCGTGGCTCCAGATCCACAGAAAGCTGGGCCTGGCTCACTCCTGGAGCGGCCGGAGGGAGCCCAGCCCAACACACAAGGCTATTTTTGGTGCTGTCTTATTTGGAAAGCCACCAGGCCAGAAATAGTGACATGAGTTAGCAGGACTTTGCTCCCACCCCCAGCTCTCCCAGAAAATCAGCCAGCATTCCAGGGAGCCTGAGCTGTGTAACTGATAGGACACACACGGCTCTTCCCACCGGAAGGCCTCTTCAGCGGAGTTTGCCTGTAAAAGGGATTCTGGAAAGGGAGAGGAGAGGGAAAAGAGGGGTTGAGTCAGAGAATAGAAAAGAGGGAGGAGGAGAGGAGACAGGAGGAAGAATCACCTCATGGAGGAGAAAAACAGGAACAGGAAGAGTCTGGGGAGACAGGAGGAAAGGAAGCCAGCAGCAGAGTGTAAGAGAGCAGCGAAGAGGAAGATTAGATAGCGGTCAAAAAGGCAAAAGGCTGGTCATGAATGATCATCCCTCCGGGGCCCCAGTGGAGGCTGTGTCTACATGAGGCTGGGGGCGGGGGACAGTCATGGAAAATGTGACTCCTGCTCCAGTCACGAATCACCTGCAAGAGGAGCCTGGGGAGCCATCTTTCCCAGCTAACTGTGGCTGGAACTTCCCCTGGAAAGCCAGGGCCCCATAACTCACTCTCTTATCTCCAACTCTCCGGAAATCAGAGATCCAATTATTTCAACAGCAGGGATTTTTCTCTATCTATTTGAAAGTTGGTGTTTGGGGGAAGAAAGGGAAAGTGAGCAAAAGCCTTATGAGTCAGGCTAGATGTTGAGAAGCATGTTGCAGAGATCTTCCGGGGAGTAAACCCCTTACTGTCTCCCCCAAGAAGGAGGCCTTCGTTGGGTGCTGGTGGCTCACACCTGTCATCCTAGCTACTCAGAAGGCTGAGATCTGAGGATCAAGGTTCAGAGCCAGCCGGGGAAGGAAAGTCCATGAGATTCTTATCTAATGAACCACCAAAAAGCTAAAAGTGAAGCTGTGGCTCAAATCACCGAGCACTAGCTTTGAGCAAAAGAAACTCAGGGACAGCACCCAGGACCTGAGTTCAAGACCCAGGAGCAGCACAAAATGGAAGCTTACAGAAACTTGTACTCTGTTTGTGGACACCCAGATCTTCTCCATGTCCCAGGGCCGATAAAGCCTTGGGTATGCAGGGAGCCAGGACCACGATCATGTCTAGCCCCAGAGCATCTAGGCAGCCCTAGCAGCTCCAAACCAAACAGACGATCAGAGAGTTCAGCATGAAGCTGGGCATCCATGCTCACTAGTAGCCACTCAGGAGGCTGAGATCAGAGGATTGTGGTTCAAAGCCCATCCAGGCAGAAAAGTCCCTGTGAGACTTTTATCTCCAATTAACCACTCAAAAAATGGAAGTGCACTGTGGCTTAACTGGTACAGTGCTAGCCTTGACAGAGCCAAAGACAGCACCCAAGCCCTGAGTTCAAATCCTACAACCAACCAAAAAGAAGAAAAGCAGCAGCAGTGAAGAAGAAGGAGGAGGAGGAGGAGGAGGAAGAGGAGGAGGAGGAGAAGAAGGTTCAGCATGAGACCCCTCCCCCCTCCCCTGTCCCACTAGGTTTGGCTTTAATTCCCAGATTCCCACATGTTTCTTCAGCTTGGGGAGATTCCTACATGTTTCTCCACCTTTTCTCTTTCTGAAGGGAAATATGCCCCTTGACCCCACCCTAGTCAGGACACAGAGCCTCCCTCAGCGCTCCCCTCCCCCCCCATACTCCCAAATGGATGTCACTTTCAGAATGGCACTAGATCTCTAGGTGGGGATGGAATTAGTCTCTGCCTGGCAAGGCCAAGGACCAGGCCAGCCACAGAAAACAGGACCAGGGAAGACCGAGCTAACTCAACCCAGGAGCAGGGCTGAAGCCTCTGGAAGGCTGGCTGCCAGTGGGGTATACACCCGCCGGCCTTCCTGGTCCCTGGGGCTAGGTACCTTGGGTTGCGGCAAGCCCTGAGGATGGAGGGGTATTTTGGGGCGGGGGGGGGGGGGGGGGAGGGAGATGCGGTTGGGTCTGTACTTGTGTCTCAACCTTTGGTGAAGGCAGGGTGATTCGCTCCTTCCTGTGGCAAATCATCCTCCAAGCCACAAAGAAGTCCATGGAAGGGAAGACATATAAACAGGAGGCGGAGGCCCGGGAACAGTTCTCCACTGTGTCTGATCCTGTCTTTCCATGGAAGGTTTCCCCTCTTGCCCCCACCCCTCCCCAGCCACCTCCAGTTCAGATGAGAAAACTGCTCTGCTGTGGTTGCCCTTGGCATCTGTTTACTGAAAATCCAAAACAAACATCCTGATGATCCCACCCACTTCAAAGTTCCTCTGCCTTTGCCCTCAATCATCTCCATGGCTACCACCGGTTACACACCACCACCCACGAGAAGCATGACAGGGAGTGACCCTCAGGGGTCCACCGACCTCCCCCTCCCCTCCCTCCTCCCCTCTCCCCTTTCTCTCCTTTCCTCTCCCCTCTCCCTCTCCCAAGACCTCCATCTATGGCACCTGAGCTGTGACCAATGGGACCCAAGTCTGCCAACCCCCCAATAACAAGCCGCCAGCCACTGGTGCCAGGCGCTGCTGGCACACATCTGTCATCATAGCCACTCCGGAGGCTGATAGCTGAAGATCACAGTTCAAGGCCAGTCTAGGCAAGGCCATCCATAAGACTTTTATGTCCAATGAGTCAGCAAAGGGCCAGAAGTGAAGCTGTGGCCCAAGCAGTAGAGCGCCAGCCTTGAGAAAAAAAAAAAAAAAACCTAAGAGACAGTGCCTAGGCCCTGAGTCTACACCCCAGTATTGATGCACACGTGTGCACATGCACACACACTCATTTGTCACTCTTCCTTTTCTAACCGCGAAAAACACCCCAAACCTCTACTTCCTTCTTTCCCTAGTCCTGTGGGCTCCGTCTGCCAGTTTGTGTGCCCTGCAGGAAGAAGATAAGGGTCAAGCCCTCCCTGCCAGTTGCCACAGACAGTGACGAGAAATGAGACCCGCATGCCACGCACCCAATGCTGTGCCATACTGCTCCTATGGTAACCTCAGGTCCCTTTCTGCTACCACCACCCCACTGCGAACCCTAACTCAGACAGGGCTACTGCCATCAGGAGAGCCCTTGGGGGCAGAGAAGAGAGAGAGAGAGAGCCAGAGCCAGGCACATGGTAGGGGAACTAGCATGTCCACCCCCGGCCATCAGGCACATGGCAGGGACGAGGGAAAGGCCTGGCATCCTCTGTGGGGCCCAAGTCTAAGACAAACAGAACGCAGCCGGTCACCCGCACATTGCGCGCCCGCTGGCCGCAGGGCTGGGGACAGAGGAGGGAGGGCCAGACTTCCCTAGAGAGTGGCAGGGCACGCACAGGGCAGACGGGCCTGGTAGGAAAAATCTCCAGCTTCTTTGGTAATTTGGGAGAGGGGCAAGGGGAGGGGGGGAAACCAAGGGCCATTTTTTCTTTTCAAGTTGCACCACTAGGAAAGCAAGTTTTGAAGGGTGAGCCTGTGAGCCACACAGCGCGGCCAGGCCTGTGCTGGACAAGGACATGGGGGGGGGGAGCAAGGGAGGCCGTGGGGACGAGGCAATCAGAGTTTGCTCAACTGCCACACACAGACACACAGGACAGCACGCACGCACACGCCCCCGGCGAGTTCTCCAAGCGGGAGGTGCCAAGGGGGCTGGATGGCGGCCGGCCCAGACAGACAGCCAGCGCGGGCTAGGGGGTGGGGCCGGCCATGAGTTCATGTTTCCTGCCTCATCTGTATAAAGGGAGGTGGCCGCCCAGAGGCAGCACAGCTGTGGCTGCAGCGCCCGGAGCAGGAGCCGCGCACACCCCACCTACCCACCTCTAGCAGCGCAAAGCCAGGGCTCCTCAAGCCGCCCCACTCCACGGAGCAGAAGAAACCACCAATTACCAAGCAGGAGAAACCGCCAATTACAAGGAGCCTCTGTCAGGTAGGAGAAAGGTAACTTCCTTCTGGCTTTTCCCTGCGGGGGAGTAGACTTCTTTGGAAGTTTTTCGAATCTCCTCCGTCCATCCCCGTCCTTATGTTCCCTCTGTGTTCTTTCTCCTGGAACCCTGCCCCGTCCTCAAAGACAGGCAAGTAGGGCAGGTGGGACCCCCACCATCAAGACCATTACCAAGACCGGACCTCAGCCCCATCTTTCCCCAGCAACACCTGCTCTCCTCCCCCAACCTCAGAAATTTCCTCCAATTTTCATCAAACAGTAATTGGAGAAAGCCTAATGAGTCAAAAAAAAAAAGATACTAAAAACAAAAAACAACAACAACAACCAAAAACGCCATGCAAATCAAAGATGTCATTATGGCCAGGCGCTGGTGGCTGTCAGGTAAGCTGCTCAGGAGGCTGAGATCTGAGGATCGCGGTTCAAAGCCAGCCAGGGCAGGAAAGTCCATGAGACTCTTATCTCCAATAAACCACCAGAAATCCAGAAGTGGAACTCAAAGTGGTTGAGCACTATCCTTGAGCAAAAGAGATCAGGGATGGTGCCCAGGCCCTGAGTTCAAGCCCGCGATTGACAAAAAGAAAAAAAAGATGCCATTATAATTTAGCTCTTCAACCGCCTGGAGGGGAAGGGTGATATATTAGGGCATCTTCTAACATTATTCTAAGAAAAAATGTATTTAAGACTTCTTGCAGGGCTGGAAATGTGGCTCAGTGGTAGAGTGCTTGCCTAGCGTGCATGAAGCCCTGGGTTCAATCCCTCCATACCACATAAACAGAAAAAGCTGGAAGTGGTGCTGTGGTTTAACTGGTAGAGTGCTAGCCTTAAGCAAAAGCAGCTCAGGGACAGTGCCCAGGACCAGCACATCTGTGATCCCAGCACTAGGGAGACTGAGGCAGGAGGATGGAGAATTGGAGGACAGTCTAGGCCATGCCTCAAAAACAAAGCCAGAAGCCCGTGTCTCACGCTTGTCATCCTAGCTTCTCAGGAGACTGAGATCTGAGGTACTTGATTCAAAGAGAGCCTGGGCAAGAAAGTCCATGAGACTCTTATCTCCAATTAATCATCAAAATGCTGCACATGGAGTTGTGGCTCAAGTGGTAGAGCACTAGCTTTCAGCAGATAAAACTCAGGAACAGTGCCCAGGCCCTGACTTCAAGCCCCGGGACTGGCACACACATACAAAAAACCATGGAATTAGTAGAAGTAGGTAGAGTAGGATCTGTAATTACATGAACTTACTCTTTCCACTTCTCATCTGCAAACATGAGAAGCCCCCCCACCCCCATCCCTGGCCAGACTTGTAGGACTTTCTGGAACTTCTCATCTCTGTTGCTTCTAGGATGCGGACGTCTCCAGCCCTTACCTGCCTGGCCCTGGTCCTGGCCCTGGCCTTGGGTGAAGGGTATGGGCTGCTCACTGAGCCCCAGCTGGCCCAACTGACCACAGACTTCGGCGTGAAGGTGTTCCAGCAAGTGGCTCAGGCAGCCAAGGACCGCAACGTGGTTTTCTCACCCTACGGGGTGGCCTCTGTGCTGGCCATGTTGCAGCTGACCGCAGGAGGGGAAACCCGAGAGCAGATCCAAGCTGCGATGGGGTTCAAAATTGAAGGTGAGAGGGAGAGACAGGGCAGAGCAGGAAGTGGGGGCCAGGGGCTCCTCACAGACCTTCCAGGGGCCAAGGCAGCAGGAGCTGGGGGGAGAAGGCTGGCTCTAGCTCAGCCAAGGCCAGTCATGTACGATTGTCCATCTTCTTCCTCCCACCTTCTGGGTCTCTGGATCTTGTCCTGCCCAGGGTGTCACAGACAGAGAGGTACCCCGTATTAACTGTGTGACCTTAACTCCTGAGGCTGTTTCACCATCCATCAAATGGGGTTAACAACACTGCCTGCTGCACAGAACTGTGTAAATGCTACGTAGAATCACAAATGCGAAGCTGTTGCCCCAACTATTTATTCTAAGAAGATATTCACTACAGCTCATCGCTTCCCAGCCTTTTGGATAAGGTCCAGTACGGTTGCTCACAACTGTAATCCTAGTTACTTTGGAGGCAAAGATAAGAGGATCATGTTTCCAGGGAGCCAGGGCAAACAAAAGTTCACAAAAACAAACCAAGGGGCATGGTGCATACTTGTCATCCTAGCTATACAGGAGGCAGAGGTAGGAGGATCGAGGTCTGAAGCCAGCTGGGCGAAAGCCAGGGGCCCAGGGCTCCAGGTGAGTCTAATGCACCCTTCCTGTCTCCCTCCACACAGAGAAGGGCGTGGCCCCCGGCCTCCGAGGGCTGCACGGGGAGCTCTTGGGGCCCTGGAACAAAGATGAGATCAGTATCATGGATGCCATCTTTGTCCAGCGGGACATGAGGCTGGTCGAGGGCTTCATGCCCCACTTCTTCAGGCTGTTCCGGACCACCGTGAAGCAAGTGGACTTCTCAGAGGCAGAGAAAGCCAGATTCATCATCAACGATTGGGTGAAGAGGCACACGAAAGGTGAGCTGGGAAGGGGAACTCGGGGGTAAGCTCTGGCTTCCAGCATTACCTTCTCAGAAAGACCCAGCACTTTTCAAACCAAAGCATAATGGGTAAATTGGTGTTCCTGATTAGGCTTTCCAATCCACAAAGCAATTCAGAGTATGGCGGCACAGGCCTGTTATCCCAGCCTGTGGAAAAGCTGAGGGGCATGCCTGTAGTCCCAGATACTCAGGAGACTAGCAGGAGGATCATTTAAGAGGGTTACACCTGCAATCCTAGCTCTTCAGGAGGCTATGACCTAAGAATGGTGGTTCAAAGACAGACTGGGCAGGAAAATCTGTGAGACTCTTACCTCCAATTAACCAGAACACACACACACACACACACACACACACACACACACACACACACACACACACACCACACACACACACACACACACACACACACACACACACACACACACACACACACACACACACACACACACACACACACACACACACCCCTTACAGAGCAATGGAAAGCAGAAAGTAAGGAAAGGCTTAAGCTTCCAACTCAGATTATGGGCAGGGTCTCAGAGAACATGGAAATGAATATACATGAAAGATGCCCCCAGGCTCACAGAAAGACCAGACAAATCAAAAGCAACTAGATGGATTCATTCATCTGTCCTTTGCCTCATCCCAACACACCTCCTTTTCAGTAGTGGGAGATGAAGGGGACCACCACCAGGTTTAAAGGTAGACGAAACATCCTGATCATCTGACTTTCTTATAGGTATGATCAATGACTTGCTGGGCAGAGGGGCCGTGGACTCGCTGACGCGTCTGGTGCTGGCAAACGCACTTTACTTCAATGGCCGGTGGAAAACGCCCTTTCCTGAGTCAAACACCCACTACCGTGTCTTCCACAAGTCTGACGGCAGCACCATTCCTGTACCCATGATGGCTCAGATGAACAAGTTCAACTACAGTAAGTCCAAGATCCTCCTTACCCCATATCTCCCCGTATCACACCTGCAACCCTAACTACTTAGGAAGCTAAAATCTGAAGATCACAGTTCAAAGCCAGCCCAGGCCAGAAAGTCTGTGATATTCGTATCTCCAATTAACCACGAAAAAAGCTGGAAGTGGAGGTATAGTTCAAGTGGTAGAATGTTAGCCTTGAGCAAAAAAGCTCAGAGACAGCACCTAGACCCTGAGTTCAAGCCCTAGTACTAGCAAAAAAAAAATTTTTAAGAGATTAAGAAACCAGAGGGTATTGAAGTAGAAGAAAACTAGGAATAAAAGGACAGAATGGGAGAGCGGTACCAGTGGCTCACACCTATAATCCCAGCTACGAAGGAGGCTAAAATCTGAGGGCAGGAAAGCTGCATGAGACTTTATTTTTTTTTTCCTGGAGGATCATGGGGCCTGAACTCTGGGCCTGGGCGCTGTCCCTCAGCTCTTCAGCTCAAGGCTAGTGCTCTACCACTCGAGCCATAGCGCCACTTCTGGCTTTTTCTGCTTATATGGTGCTGAGGAATCGAACCCAGGGCCTCAGGCATGAAAGGCAAGCGCTCTACCACTGAGCCACCTTCCCAGCCCCTAATGAGCATTTCTTTTTTTCTTTTTTTTGTCAGTCGTGGGGCTTGAACTCTGGGCCTGGGTGCTGTCCCTCAGCTCTTCAGCTCAAGGCGAGCACTCTACCACTTGAGCTACAGCGCCACTTTAGAGCACCAGTCTTAAGTGGAAAAAGCTCAGGGACAGCACCCAGGCCCTGAGTTCAAGCTCCAGTACTGGTGCACACGTGTGTGCATGCACACATACACATACACACAATTAGATATATTTATAGAGATAAGTCCATATATCTATATTTATCTAGCTAGCTAGCTAGATAGATATAGATATAGAGAGATAGATAGCTACCTACCTACCTACCTACCTATCTGATGGAGGACAGGTACTCAAAAACCAAATAGAGCATTTAGCTTCCAGAAAGGATTAGAAAGACAAGAAGAATCAGTTGAACACAGAGCTATGCATTAGAACAAAGCAGAGTCGGAGTCATTTCCAAGGCGCCATCTTGGTTTCTCCCCAGCTGAATTCACCACCCCAGATGGCCATATCTATGACATCCTGGAACTGCCCTACCACGGGGAAACGCTCAGCATGCTCATCGCAGCTCCCTTCAGAAAAGAAGTGCCTCTCTCCACCATCATCAGCATCCTAGACGCCCAGCTTATCAGCCAGTGGAAAGCCAAGATGCTCAGACTGCCCCGCCTCCTGGTCCTACCCAAGTAAGTCATCCATGCCCACATTCTGCTACCCACCCTTCCCTGTCTCCTAGCTTTCAGAAATCACTGTTCCCAAGTTGAGTTTCCCAGCTGCCCATGGGACAGGAGCATGTGGGGGAGGCTGATGGGAAATTGTCCTGTCTGGGTTTGATTAGAATTCCTTGCATCATCTCTCTTGTATGCTTCTGCTGCTTGAGTCTGTAGACCATATCCGCCTACCTCACTGGCCACCCCCAGAAACCCCAGGAAGAGCCAGCCAGAGGGAAGCAGGAGAAATGATGGGGCTAGGGAGGCTGAATCATTCTCCATCCATTCATTCCTGGACTCCACCCCCATCTCCACCAGTCACTACCCTCACAGCGTAGTGAAAAGAATCACTGCCAGTCACTGGTGGCTCAGGCCTATAATCTCAGCTACTCAAGAAGCTGAGATCTGAGGATCACAGTTCAAAGCCAGCCCAGGCAGCACAGTCCACGAGACTCTTTTCTCCAACCAACCACCAAAAAGTCAGAAGTGGAGGGGCTGGGAAGGTGGCTCAGTGGTAGAGTGCTTGCCTTGCATGCATGAGGCCCTGGGTTCCATTCCTCAGCACCACATAAACAGAAAAAGCTGGAAGTGGTGCTGTGGCTCAAGTGGTAGTGTGCTTAGCCCTGAGCTGAAGAGTTGAGGAACAGCACCCAGGTCCAGAGTTCAGGCCCCACTAGTGGCCAAAAAAAAAAGCCAGAAATGGAGCTGTGTGTGGCCAGCTTTGCGCCCTGAATGAAAAAGCTAAGGGACAGTGTCCAGACCCTGAGTGCAAGCCACAGGACCAACACACACACACACACACACACACACACACACACACACACATCACTTGGGAAATGAGACAGCCCCAACTACAGCTTCTGCCTAGGGCTCCAACAGAACAGATTTGTTATTTCAGTCCTTCTGCAGAAACAAAAGGGGGTGCAGAAGGCTGCGGCTGGGTAATTCCAGAATCACAGGAAGCTCCCACCCACCAGGCTTCCCCTAAACTTCCAGATGCTTTAATGCTAAGTTAGTGGGAAGAGAAGACATGAGGTTGGCTAGCTGGTGTGCCCACATTCTCCCCACCCTCCCTTTCTTTTCCATCTCCTTCTTTCTCCCTTAGCCCCTCTGCTCCGCCTTCCTCCTCCCTCTCCCTCCCTCTGCCCATGAAGAAGGCTACCCCAAACCCTCTCTCTACCTAAATCCTTTTCAGGCTTAGATCTCAAAAATATGGGGCTGGGAAGGTGGCTCAGTGGTAGAGTGCTTGCCTTGCATACCAGAGGCCCTGGGTTCGATTCCTCAGCACCACATAAGCAAAAAAGAAAAAAAAAGCCAGAAGTGGCGCTGTGGCTCAAGTGGTAGAGTGCTAGCCTTGAGCTGAAGAGCTGAGGGACAGTGCCCAGGCCCAGAGTTCAGGCCCCACGACTGGACCCCCCCCCAAAAAAAAAAAGATCTCAAAAATACAACCTAGCTGGGTCCTGGTGTCTCATGCCTATAATCCTACTACTTAGGCTGAGATCTGAGGATCACGGTCAAAAGCCAGCCAGGGCAGAAAGTCTGTGAGACTCTCATCTCCAATGAACCACCAAAAAGCAGAAATTGGTACTGTGGCTCAAGAGCACAAAAGCTCTGAAACAGCACTCAGGGCCTGAGTTCAAGCCCCATGACTGGCACAAAGAGCAAAAAAGAAAGAGAGGAAGGAAGGGAAGCAGGGAGGGAAGGAAGGAGGAAAGAGAAAAAAAAATCCACAACCTATAGACCAGATTTTCATTTAAACATCTTTATGGGAGAATTTACCTTTCTCTTCTCCCCACTCCAACCCTGCCCTCTGCCCCATTGTGCTAAATAAAATTATGCTAAAATACTTGCCTTATCTGAAGAAAGTAATTAGTCATAGCTTTGAGGGGGTGGAGAGATGGAAGAATATTCATTAATATTAGAAACCTCTGACAAAGACAGAGACTTTGCAAATAGTTTTGGGAGAGGAAAAAAAATGACCTCCATCTTCCAGGGTTAAATTAAATCCTACCGTGTCTTCATCTGAGGGCGCCCTGTGGGGAGGGGCCTGTGTCAGGGGCTGCGGTCAGAAAGAGGGCCCCTGAGCTGAGGGCCCCCCACTCCTGCCTTCCAGGTTCTCCCTGGAGACTGAAATCAACCTGAGGACACCCCTGGAAAATCTGGGAATGACAGACATGTTCAATCCAGCTGAGGCAGACTTCACAAGCCTCTCAGGTGGGTGGCGGCCTGCATGCTGCGCCGCTCTGCCCTGCAGTTTGCCCTGCGTGGTGAAGAGGGGCAGAGGAGGGTACCCAAGATCCACAGTTGATCCTTCTTGTCCCTTTTTTAGATCAAGAACCGCTCTATGTGTCACAGGCCCTGCAGAAAGTGAAGATGGAGGTAGACGAGAGCGGGACGGTGGCCTCCTCCTCCACGGGTGAGGCTCCGGCCCACGCCCCACATGGACTCCCCCCCCCACCCCGCTCCACACGTCCATGCAGCTGACAGTCCCTCCCCATCAGCTCCTCAGCCCCTTGACTTGCGACACTGGAAGCAAACTAAAGGAGTTTGCTTAGCAACAATTCCTCAGCATTCTGGCTGTTCTGGAGGTTGAGATTAGAGGATCGTAGTTCAAAGCCAGCTCCAGTAGGAAAGTCCCTGAGACTCTTTACCTCCTTCCAATTCACCAGCAAGAAGCCAGACACAAGTGGAGCTGTGGCTCAAGTGGTAGAGGGCTAGCCTTGAGCCAAAAAAAAAAAAAGTCAAGCAAGAGTGTGAGGCCCTGAGTTCAAGCCAGTGCTGGCACTAATATAATAACAATAATAGTAATAATAATATGCTCTAAGCATATTTGTGAGGAACAACTGATAGATCGCCACTAAATTCTTGGAAAAAGCTGGGTTTTCTCCTAAGCTGCCAAGGCCAACCTTCAGAAGAATGAAGGAGGCTCCTGAACGTTCCTCCTGCCCTCCTCCCCCTGCCCACCCTGTGTTGTCCACATGTGAAAGGCTGGAAGGCTGGGGTCGCCGGAGCCCTTGGAATCTATCCGGGCACTGGCGCTGATGTCTGTCTGTCTGTCTGTCTGTCCTGACACTCTGTCCCTCCTCTTGCAGTCGCCGTGCTGTCGGCCCGCATGGCCCCTGAGGAGGTGATCATGGATCGACCGTTCCTAACTGTGGTTCGGCACAACCCCACAGGTGAGCATCCCCCACTCTCCCACCAGTGTGTGTGTGTGCACATGTGCAACGTGCATATGTGTGTGTGTATTGCCAGGAATCAACCCCAGGGTCTCCCACAAGCTGAACAACACGAATTTTACCGCTGAGCTACATCATCAGCCCTTGGCTTTCTTGAGATTATAGGCTTGCACTGCCACACCCAGCTACCATCTGTCTAGACAGATACAGATGCCCTTCTAGCCCCCAAGGATTGTGGGAAGCCGATTCCATTCCCCCTCCCAAAGAGAGACAGGAGTGTCAGAGCCAAGCAGTGCTGGACCCCATCTAACTTAGTTACCCCAGCAGCTGTGACTCAGCAAGCTCCCCAGCCCTGCAGCCCCAAGGTCACCCACAAACACTGTGCTTATGCATCCACAGGGACAATCCTTTTCATGGGCCAAGTGATGGAGCCTTAGCGAGCGGCCCTGCCCCAGGACACCACTGGACCTGTGTCATACGCCAAGAAACTCTCAAGAGAAGAATTTCCCCTTGCATGGTTCTCTCCAGAGAAAGCAAAGACACCCACCTTTCTCTCCCAATGGTAACTTTCCCCACCAGTCACCTGGGCGTCAGCCTCTCTCCCGAGTTGGGGGATTGGCTCTCCCTAGGCAGAGAACAAGAAAGATCCAGGCTGGAGGGGATGGATGGAACCCATCTCTCCTCACATCTGGCCCCCGGGGCCCCAGACACACTGAAAGGAACAACGAGACTTGCAGACTCTGAGTGCCTGGCCCAACGATTTACATTCGACTCATACCCTGGAGAATGACAAGGCCACCACGAGACTCATCTCAAAGGACACCCCAGTCCTGACCGCCCCCCTCCCCTCAGAAGGGCTGACGACCACCCAAGCAAAGCCCTTCCCCACCCCCTCCCATCTCCCACAGACCCTCCCCTCCCCCAGTCGGGGCAGACATATATCACTTTGGAGTGTAGGTAACTTGTTTACACATAGAAGCAGGTTTTTGCTTCCTAAAAACTTTTCTTTTTAGTCAAGAGCCAGTAGCTCACACCTGTAATCCTAGCTAATCGGGAGGCTGGATCCAAGGATTGTGGATTGAAGCCAAGAAAGTCCATGACACTCTTAGGTCCAATGAACTATCAAAAAGCCAGAAGTAGAGTTGTGGGCTCAAGTGGTAGAGCACCAACCTTGAGGGAAAAAAAAAAAAAAAGCTCAGGGCTGGGAAGGTGGCTCAGTGGTAGAGCGCATGCCTTGCATGCCAGAGGCCCTGGGTTCGATTCCTCAGCACCACATAAGCAAAAAGAAAAAAGCCGGAAGTGGCGCTGTGGCTCAAGTGGTAGAGCGCTAGCCTTGAGCTGAAGAGCTGAGGGACAGCGCCCAGGCCCAGAGTTCAGGCCCCATGACTGGACCCCAAAAAAAATTTAAAAAAAAAAAAAGCTCAGTGCCCAGGCCCCGAGTTCAAATCCCAGGATGGGCACACACACACACACACAAAAAAAAAAAAAACTTTCAGTTTTGCAGCAATAAAGGAAGCTGCTCTTCACCCCAGTCTCTTGATGGAGGAAGACAGGGCGCCAGAGGTGTGCTTGGATGGTGATCATCGGCTTTGCCCTGGTGTGCTTGTTAGAAAGACATTAAGAATTACTTAAGCGTTGGCATCCTGTCCCTCTGGATCTGTGTCATGGAATCTCAGGAGCGTGGCCCGCCACTCTCTCCAGGTGGCAGGAGTGATGGGGCCCATACCGCCACCTCGTGGCGGCCCGAGCCCCGGGGCTGCCGTCTTCCCTACTTCCCCTCTTTCCAGAAAGTCCCAGGTAAAAGTGTTCTCATAGCAGTCCAAGTTAGAGACCAAAAGGACGCAGTAGAAGACAGAGATGAGTAAGGAGCGAGCCGATCCCATTTTCCCAGTCTATTTAGAAGCAGAATGTAAGGAACTTCATGACCTACCAGGACAGAACTTCTCCCAATTACAGGCTGAGTCACAGCCCCACTGGTGACTCATGCCAGTGTGTCATTTCCGGCTGCTGTGGGGAGATGCGTGGACACGTGAGGAGAGAGGGAAGGAAACACAGCCAGCTCCGACTCAGTCATCTGAGTTCCATTAGTATTTCTTTTTTTCTTTCTTTTTTGCAAACCTCCTAGCTCAGGGTTTGTGGCTTGCAGCCCGATTTCTGAGTGATCAATGCAGATGTGACAATGGACCCATCTGTACACCTGTCACCATCTCTGCCCCTGGCTCTTCACTGAAAAACTGTCCTTCTGTAGCATTTGTTTTTCCTCATTATGCACTGAATCATGACAAGATTACCCCTGTACTCCCTAGGTAGGGGGCAGGGCGGTCCCCAAATATGGGATCACTTGTCATTGAAACTATGTTGATTATAAATGCTTTTTCACTTTTGATATATAAGTAAAAATTATTATTTATAAAAAATAATAATAAAATAAAAAAGATTATGGCAAAGCAACCCTTACCTCCACGTTCTGCTTCACAGGTAGAAGCGATGAAGACCCTGTTGGTCTGGAGAACTGTTGGGGTGGGGGTATCGCATTGAACCAGGGGTGTCGGCCTGCTGTGGGTCATTTGCAAAACAGGGCAGCACCACTGTGCAAGGAGGTGCCAAGTGTGGGGGGGATTCTCCCCCTGGGAATTATTCTTGGGATGGAAAAACAAGCTAGAGGCAAGCTAGCGCAGAGGGAGTGCACAGGCTGAACTCGCAGGAGTCCTTGGGCTTGATCAAAAAGAAGACAAGGAAGGGGGGGGAGGCGGCAGGGGAGACAAAGAAAAGCATGCCAGTGGCCCCCATCTGTAGTCCTAGGCACTCAGGAGGCTGAGATCTAAGGATCACCCGGAGATGAAAGTTATTTTTTATCTCCAATGAACCACCAAAAAAGCTAGAAGTGGAGTGTGGCTCAAGCGATAAGAGTGCCAGCCTTAAGCAAAAAAGCTCAGGGGCAGCATCCAGGCCCTGAGTTCAAGCACCAGTGCTAGCATATATATATGCACACGCGCGTGTGCCCGCGCACACACACACACACTTGTCAGGTGCAGGTAGCTCACATCTGTAATCCTAGCTACTTAGGAGGCTGAAATCTGGAGGATCATTGTTCAAAGTTAGCCTGATCAGAAAACTCCCCAAGACTCTTATGTCCTAATTAACCACCAAAAAGCCAGAAGTGGAGGTATAGACCAAGTGGTAGAGCTCCAGTCTTAAGCACAAATGCCAAGTGAAACATGAGGCCCTGAGTTCAAGTTCCAGTACCAGCACACACAGTTGCATACATCATGAAAGCTAGAATGGGCTACTCACTAATGCTACTTCCATGGTGGGAAAAGCTTGTGTTGGAAGCTCATGATTTGAATCCCCGTTGTTCTGACTACACAACCAAGCTGGGGAGGGTTGGGATATGGTTGCAGAACCACAGATGCCAAGGCCCTCGAAGCCACTAGACTTGCTCATGAACCTGTCTGAGCCCAGAGATGCAAACACTGGATAAGGCCCCATCAGACTGACAAACTAGGTCTGCACTGAGATTTGTAGCCCAAACTTCAGCGTGTACTAATGTGATCCCTTTCCTGCCTTACCCGCTCGTAGTGGGGTCACGAAGCCAACAGTCCCAATAATTGAGGACCCGAGTCTATCTTTGGATCTCCTTGTACCCTAAAAATATGACCCGATTCTAGGCCTCAAGCCGGCTGGAGGCTGAAGGGCTGACCCATTTCTAAGAGATTTTCTTAGAGAAGCTGCACAAAAACGCTTCCAAAAGCGGGGCAAAGGAGGTCTAATTTTGCAATACACAGTTCAAAAATGGCTTATGCCTGCTGAGAAAGCTCAGGAGGAGACGCGTCTTCAAAGACCCCCTCCGCACAAAGCTGCAGTGAGGACAAAGGTGGCGGAGACCGCACGGGGCCTCCCTGCCCTGTTTAACTTCCTTGGCCTCCTTCCTTGACAGCTCAAAGTGCTTCCTCCTGTCCTCTGTCTCTTTAGAGATGAAAAGCAAACACGATCTGCGTTCCTTGAAGGCTCTTGCACAAAAGAATCATTGATCTGCCCCAGGGCAGGCTGGGAGGATAAAATGTTGTAGCCCTTGGTGGTAAAAATACTCTATTAAAGACAAAAACTTCCCAAGGAGATCTACTTTCCACCACCCTTTTGGGGAGAGAGGGTCCCCACTATGTAGCCCAACTTGAAATGCACCTGATTTACCCTCCTAATTGCTGGGATGACAGGTGTGTGCCACCAGACCCAGTTAAACCTTGTGGGTATGTGTTTGTGCTTGTGCACACACGTGCATGCACACCCACGCACACACCTGTCTTGGGGCTTGAACTCAGGGCCTGGGCACTGTCCTAGGGTTTTGGGGGGGTTTCTTTCTCAAGCCTAGGACTCTAACACTTGAGCCACTGCTCAACTTTCTGCTTTTTGTTGGTTAACTGGGGATAAGAGTCTCATAGCCTTTCCTGCCTGGGCCAGCTTTGAACTACAATCCTCAGATCTCAGAGGATTACAGGATTACAGGTGTGAACTACAAGCACCTGGCTATGGAGTATTATTTTGGGGGGGGCGGGGGTCCGGTCATGGGGCCTGAACTCTGGGCCTGGGCGCTGTCCCTCAGCTCTTCAGCTCAAAGCTAGCGCTCTACCACTTGAGCCACAGCGCCACTTCCGGCTTTTTTCTTTTTGCTTATGTGGTGCTGAGGAATCGAACCCAGGGCCTCATGCATGCAAGGCAAGCGCTCTACCACTGAGCCACCTTCCCAGCCCCTGGAGTATTATTTTTGAGACACGGACTCTGTACATTGTCCAGTCTGGTCTCCAACTCCTAGGCTTCCTGCCTCAGCATCCTGAGTGGCTGAGACTGCAGCTGATACCACCATGCCACAGCTCCTCCTGCTATTCTCATTGCTACTAACAGCCCCATGCTGCAGGACAGCTTCATGTGGCCTCGGTATGACACTTGTTCATAGCAACAAGAAGGGCTGGACAGCAAGAAGGGCTTAGACACAGCCAGACTTAAATGGAAGCCCTCCGCAGCCTAAACCCACAACCTGAGTATCAGCTTCCTGGTTGTCAGGCTTTTATCCCCCAGCCACCAGGTGGCACTCTAGCTCTAATGGAAGGGTCTCTGGAGCAAAGAGACTGGGACTTGCCAAGTTTGAAGCCAGGTGCCTGTGGCTCACGCTTGTCATCCTAGCTACTCAGAGGCTAAGATCTGAGAGTCCCAGTTAGATGTCAGCCCAGGAAGGAAAGTCTATGAGACCCTTATCTCCACTTAACCAACCAAAAGGCCAGAAGTAGAGCTGTGGCTCAAGTGGTAGAGCTCCAGTTTTGAGCAAAGAAGTTCAGCGCCAATAGGCTACCATAAAGCATTATAAAAATGAAAACTGGGGCTGGGAAGGTGGCTCAGTGGTAGGTAGAGCGCTTGCCTTGCATGCATGAGGCTCTGGGTTCAATTCCTCAGCACCACATAAGCAGAAAAAGCCAGAAGTGGCATTGTGGCTCAAGTTGTAGAGTGCTAGCCTTAAGCAGAAGAGATGAGGGACAGCGCCCAGGCCCAGAGCTCAGGCCCCCACAACCGACAAAAAAAAATAAAAGAAAAGAAAAATGTGGCCAGACTACCAGTACCTTACCACCAGTAATCTGAACTAGTTAAAAGGCTGCAAATGGGAGGGTTGTAATTTGAGGTCAGCCCTACCAGAAAAGCTTGTGAGGGCCCTTCTCAGCTCATAACGGGGCACAATGGTGTGTGCCTGTCATCCCAAGCTACAGGGGAGGCTGAGATCAGAAGGATGACAGTTCCAGGCAGAAACAGCTTTGAGACCCCATCTCAATGGAAAGAAGTTAAGCATGGTCTCACATCCCTTTCCTCCCAGTGGCAAGCCTAAAATAAGAGGATCGAAGTCCAGGCAGGGAGCAAGACCCTATCTCAAAAAACAATCAATGCAAAAGAGACTGGAGGCATGACTCAAGTGGGAAAGCTCCTCCCTAGCAAGCATGAGAGGCCCTGAGTTTGAACCTTATCTCCACTTAACCAACCAAAAGGCCAGAAGTAGAGCTGTGGCTCAAGTGGTAGAGCTCCAGTTTTGAGCAAAGAAGTTCAGGGCCAATAGGCTACCATAAAGCATTATAAAAATGCAAGAGATTGCATCCCAGGAAGTTCTAGGGGATACACGCAAATTATAACAACAATCATTTATACAGACTAGAGCTCGAAGGGTGGCTGGCCACCATCTAGAAGGAGCACCACCCAGCGGAGCAGACGTAGCTGACTCAGGGACGCTGGTGAGCCGTGCAGGGTTTCCTGGTTACACAGATCTTAAGCCAGCGCCAGTGACTGAAGCCCAGATGGCTGCTGAGCTCCCAGGGCGAGGAAGACAGCCAGAGGACCAGGCCTCCTCGCAGGAGGAACAATGGCACAAATCATACCTCCATCACTGGACATGCGCCACGCCCTCCGGGCCACTGCACCTCCACATGCTGACCCTCTTCCAGAGTCTTAACACCCCTCATCCTCTCCCAAAGTCCTGAGCATCGGGCTGGGCAGCGCCCACTGCGCACCCATTAATAAGGCTGCAAAGGCAAAACCTGGACACTGGCAGAAGAGATGGTTTACAGTCCCCACACTCAAGAAGTGCAGCTCCAAACCTTAAGAAGGCACTGATGGCTCACACCTGTCATCCTAGCTACTCAGGAGGATCTGAGGAATGAGCTTCATGGACTTCCTTGCCCAGGCTGGCTTCAAACAGTGATCCTCAGATCCCAGCCTCCTGAGCAGTTCGGATTATAGGTGTGAATCCCTGGGTGTGCCTCAGGAGGATCTGAGGATCATAGTTCAAAGCCAACCTGGGCAGGCAAAGTCCATGAAATTCTTTTTTTTTTTGTCGGTCGTGGGGCTTGAACTCTGGGCCTGGGCGCTGTCCCTCAGCTCTTCAGCTCAAGGAGAACGCTCCGGTTTTCTGGTGGTTTATTGGAGATAGGAGTCTCACGGTCTCTCCTCCCCGGGCTGGCTTTGAACCGTGATCCTCAGATCTCAGCCTCCTGAGTGGCTAGGATTACAGGCGTGAGCCACCAGCGCCCGCCCGGCTAGTCCATGAAATTCTTATTTCCAGTCAACCACCAAAAAGCTAGAAGTGGAGCTGTGGCTCAAGTGGTAGAGTGCCAGCCTTGGATGTAAAAGCTAAGGGACAATGCCCCAAGCCCTGAGTACACACACACACACACACACACACACACACAGCACAGCACAGCACAGCACACAGGCATTGCTTTTGTCTTCAGCCTTACACACTCTCTCATAAGTAAAAAAAAAAAGTAAATGGATGGGGGGGGTAAGGAGAGGGGGAGGGGAGTATAGTCTCTCCCTCTGACCTCACCTGTTGGCCCAATAATTAGTGCACCCTGGGAACTGAGCAACAATATCTTAAAGAAAGACACTTACCCCGGAGGGGGAAGAAACTCTTGGGAAAATGTCTCCTCTGAGCACAAAACATGTTTGCAAAGAAAAATATTTATCTCAGGGATGGACACCTAAGGCGCACCCAGGGGCTCACACCTATAATCCGAACTGCTCAGGAGGCTGAGATCTGAGGATCACTGTTCGAAGCCAGCCTAGGCAAGGAAGTCCATGAAGCTCATTCCTAATTAATCACCAAAAAGCTGGAAGTGGCGCTGTGGCTCAAATGGTAGGGCGCTAGCCTTGAGCACAAAGAGGCTCAGGGACAGCACCCAGGCCCTGAGTTCAAGTCCCAGGACCAGAAAGAAAGAAAGAAAAGAAAAGGAAAAAGAAAAAAAAAAGAAAAGGAACCTTGTAAACATGTAACAAAATGCCACAATAAAATCCCTTTACTGATAATATATGCTAATAAACAAACAAACAAAAAGGTGGAGAAGCTAAAGCATCTACATCACAACCACCCAAAGTCAATGAGTGAATCAATTCTGGAATCTGAGCCTAGAAGGGGAAATAGAGCCCAACCCCCAAGGACCTTCCTGCCAGGAGACTCACAAGGGCAGAGCACTCCCAGCACCAAGTGCCCACACCAAAGTCTGGTTGTGTGCTATTCTTCAATCTTTCTTCTCTATTTTAAGGTGTCCTCAAACTCTGGTGCCCAAGGCCAGGCAGAGGCCTTCTTCTCTCATTTGGAGATCTCCTCCCTGAACCACCACCAATGCACGGTCAAATAAAATTACCTACCTAAGATAAGTGATCAACCTCCATTCTCCATTTCTGGTACCTGGATTCTCACAGTTCTCCTTTCAAATTATTCTACATATTGCTACATGATTCTGTGTGTGTGTGTGTGTGTGTGTGTGTGTGTGTGTACGCGCGTTCTGGGGCTTAAACTTAGGACCTGTCTTTTAGCTTTTTTATCTTCATACTGTACCACTTGAGCCACAGCTCCACTTCCAGCTTTTTGTGGTTCATTGGAAATAGTTTCAGTGGACTTTAATGCCCAGGTTGGTTTTGAACTATGATCCTCAGATCTCAGCCTCCTGCGTAGCCAGGGTGACAGGTGTGAGCCAGTGACATCCAGCTAAACGCAGGTAACCCTTTCCTGACAATTTGCCACAAGAGTTGCTCAAAATTAACAACATGGTTTGTCAACCACTGTGTAGAAATAGATGCTATGGTTCTCTGCCATATGGGTGTTGGCTTTTGATAGTTTCAGTTACCCGCAGCCAACTGCAATCAGGAATTACTCAACAAAAACCCCTACAAGTAAACCCATTCACAAGTTTTCAATAGAAAACCATTAAGGTGTAATCTATCTCCCTTCCAAAGCAAGCCTCTGCCTAGCATACCCACACAGAAGACCATGCCTACCCTGAGTCATGTGATACACATCCAAGCTGTTAGATCAACCTTGCCCCTAACCCCCAGGGACTGTGGTCAAGTTTCTTCTATTGGCTCCAAAGCACAAGAGTAGTAGAGCTGACTATTTAGTTCAAGCATAGTTTTTTTTGTTTTTGTTTGCCAGTCGTGGGGCCTGAACTCTGGGCCTGGGTGCTGTCCCTCAGCTCTTCAGCTCAAAGGTAGCGCTCTACCACTTGAGCCACAGCACTACTTCCAGCTTTTTCTGCTTATGTAGTGCTGAGGAATCAAACCCAGGGCCTCATGCATGCAAAGCAAGCGCTCTACCACTGAGCCCAATCATACAGTTTTAATTGTTCCATTTGATTAACAGCTACTATTGTTAGATGCTTTCTATGCTCATAACTATTGGCAAGATACTTTAGCATAGGTTAAATATGTGGCTGTGTAACATATAGAGTAAAAACATCGTGTGTACAGGTTTGGTAAAATATGAGGTTTCAGGAAATCTGCTAGAGATAAGGGAGGGAGAACTATAGAATTTTTTCAGCCAAACAAAATACATTTCTTTTGAAGTCTTACACCTTGATTGTGCATGCGTGCACCCACATAAACACATACAGAGCTAAAAGCTCCTATTACAATTTAGAACCTCCTCATCTTTACTCTTCCACCTGTCCCTTTTTTGTTTTGAACCCTACTACCCTTTTAAGATTCTCTGTGTTCCCTCCCACACAGCTTTTTTTGTGCCAGTACTAAGGCTTGATTGAACTCAGGGACTGGATTGGTCCCTGAGCTTTTGTACTCAAGGCTGGTGCTCTACCACACATTGACCCACAGCTCCCATTCCAGCTTTTCGGTGGTTATTTGGAGATAGGAGTCTCATGGTCCCTCTGGCCCAGGCTGGCTTCGAACCATGATCCTCCGATCTCAGCCTCTTGAGTATCTGGGATTACTGGCGTGAGTCACAAAGCCCGGCTGTATCTGGCCTGGCCTAATCGCAGTAAAACCTTGGACTCCATACTGTGTCCTAATCTCTACAACCTTCCACCCCGAATCCCCACCCTGCACCCCGCGACGTCCCTCTCATCAGTCCCCCCACAAGTGCCTCACAAACCCCCACGACCCTCCCATCCGTCGCTCACCCCTTTTCCCGCCTGCCCCCCCATAGGGCTCCCAAGCGCAAGGACCGCGTTATCATCCCCCCCATCCTCCCACCGACCCCCACGACAGCCCCGTTACCATGACGACGGGGCCTCTCAACGCTGAAGTCCAGGACCTGGTTGCTATGGCTTCCGCTTCTCCGCCTCCGGCCCCGCCCGCGCGCCGTGCAGCGTTCGCGCCTGCGCAGTTCGCAGTCTCGCGAGGGGCCCCGGAGGCCAGAGGGCGGGAATAGATGGGCGTGGCCTTGCGCGACGGGGCGGGGCTCAAACCCGGGGGCGGGAGGAAAGAGAAAGGATCGGTGGGGGAGCGGCGCGGGCGCCTACGGAGGCCGCAGAGGGACACGCCGAGCCGGAGGCTGCAGGATGGTAGGTTGTGCGGGGGGAGGGGGGGGCCGAGGGGCGTGGGCTGCACCCGCGGGGGGCCTTAGGGGCCGTCCTCGGGGGCTGGGGGGGGTCGCTCAGTCTTCCCTCTGGTCCTCCGAGACCCCCACTTCCCCGAACAGGTGGGCGAGCCGGCCTTTGGAGGAAAAGCTGGAAGTCGCCCTCGGGAGCGGGGCGGAGAGGGGCGGGGAGGGGGCGCATTTTGGGGGTGCGGGGGGCCCGGTGGCGGGGCGACGGGGCCGTCCTGGGCTCGGAGGAGCGCTCGGGGGCGGGGGACTGAGATCTGGGTCCCAGGGACCGCGGCCAGCGCCGCGGGGAAGCCGCCCGAAGGATTGGGGCGCAGGGAGCTGCGTGGAGAAGCGGGGTGCGGGGGTCCCTAGAACCCTCCCCCCCTCGTGCGGCCCCACGGGGCGAGGCCGGGCGGGGAGCCGCGGATTTCCGGGTCGGGCCCCACTTCGGACCATGCACGCCCCAAGGCCCGCCTGAGCTTGCGGGTTTTCGGTCGGGGACCCAGGCTGCGGGGGTCCCCCCCTTCGGTGCTGTGAGCCGCCCCGCAGCCCCCCAACACCCAGCATGCCTTCCCTCCGCACCCTAGGCCTTCCGTCTTCCTGCTGACCCCCCACCCCTGACCTCGGGGCGCCCCTCGGTGCCCTCCTTTGGGGGCGTCGGGGGTGGGGTACCCGGTTCTCCCGAACCCTGACTCAAGTCTGCGAACCAGCCCCGCGGCCCCGGCCCCCCGCCGCCTCCCAGCCCCGCGGCCCGCGCCCTGGGCTGTGCGCACGAGTCCCCGGAACGGGGAAGCCGGGGTGCGCGGGGTACCGAGCGCTCCGCACCCCAGCGCATTCCAAGTTCGCTCCTTGTTCCACCGCCATTCCCAAGGTGCCACCCCGAGTGCTTCGTCCCGGGGAGAGGCCGAAAGGGGGTCCAGATGCGAGGGGGGGTCAGGGGTCGAGGTCATGGAAGACAAGTGACAGGTCGTTACAGGGACGGAATGTTAAGATGGCCGAGCCCTTGGCTGGGTAGATAGGCTTCTGCAGAGAAAGATCCAGGGGGTTTATGGCCAGGACAGGGTGGAAAACCCGAGGTAGCAGACACAGAAAACCCCAGTTGCCGTGAGGTGAAGTACAAAGTACTTACCATGTGTCAGAAACTGTTGTGTATATCAACTCATTTAACCTCCCAACAACAATTCTTAAGGAGATTGTGTGTGTGTGCGTGCACACGTGCGTGTATCCCGGTCCTGGGGCTTGAACTCAGAGCCTGGGTGCTAGCCCTGAGCTCAGGGCTAGTAGTCTACCACTTTGAGCCACAGTTCCACTTCCAGCTCCTTGCTGGTAGAGTCTCACCAACTTTCCTGTCTGGGCTGGCTTTGAACCACAGTTCTCAGAACTCAACCTCCTGAGTAGCTAGAATTATAGGCTGAACCACCAGTACCTGGCTAAAGAAATGTTTTATGATTTTTTTTGGGGGGGAGGGGATCCTGGGGCTTGAACTCAGGGCCTGCGCACTGTCCCTGAGCTGCTTTTGCTCAAAGCTAGCACTCTACCACTTGAGCCACAGCACCATTTCCAGCTTTTAATGTTTATGTAGTACTGAGGAATCGAATCCAGGACTTCATGCATGCTAGGCAAGCACTCTACCACTAAGCCACATTCCCAGCCCTGATTTTTATTTTTTTTTAATCTAAGAAACTGAGGCCAAAGATTTAAGTAATTCAAAGCCATACCCAATTTAAGAGTCAGGATTTGAACCTGAATGATAGACACCTCCTGGCAAGATCCAGAGTTAGCAGGGAGGGGTTGGGTTTGTGGAAGTTTTGTTTATGTGCCTAGAATGCAGGGCCTGGTTGCTATCCCTTAGCTAGAAGGAAAGGCTCTGCAGCAAATGTCTGCCTCTTAGCTCTGGTGCCCCTTCTTCCTCCAGATGCGATTCATGCTGCTGTTTAGCCGGCAGGGAAAACTTCGGCTACAAAAATGGTACCTGGCCACATCAGACAAGGAACGGAAGAAAATGGTGCGGGAACTCATGCAGGTTGTCCTGGCTCGCAAACCCAAGATGTGCAGCTTCCTGGAGTGGAGGGATCTCAAAGTTGTCTATAAGAGGTGACACTCCACCTGATTCAGACCCCCTTGCTGGATTGGAGTTCAGAAATGGGTTAGGGGGCTGAAAAGTAAGCATTTGTTAGGTCAAGGAGAGCTTGGTGCTAAGGATACATACATATCAGTGATAAACACCAGCATCCCATGCTTTCCAAATTCCCCTTGAGCAACATCTATCTTTTTCTACTTTACTAAGATTTGAACTCAGGGCCTTGCCCTTGCCAGGCAGGAACTTTTTTGCTTCTGTTTTTGCCTCATGCTTGGTTGGTTTGCTTGCTCATGGCTGGTGCTCTGCCACTTGAGCCACTCCAGTCATGCTTTTTGCTGTATTGTGGGGTTGTTTTTTGTTGTTGTTGTTTGTTTTGTCCATCATGGGGTTTGAACTTGGCCCTGGGTGCTGTCCCTGAGCTCTTTCGCTCAAGACTAGCATTCAACCGTTTGATCTACACCATCACTTCCAGTTTCCTACTGGTTAATTGGAAATAAGAGTCTCATAGACTTTCCTCCCTGGGCTGTCTTCAAACTGTGATCCTCAATCAGATCTCAGCCTCCTGAGTAGCTAGGATTAGAGCCACCAGTGCCTCGCTTGCTGTGTTGTTTTGCTTAGTTTTGTTTAATGCCAGTCCTGGGGCTTGAATTCAAGACCTCAGGATGTCCCTGAGCTTCTTTTGCTCAAGACTAGTGCTCTACCACTTGAGCCACAGCTCCACTTGCTGCTTTTTTTGGTGGTTTATTGGAGATAAGAAACTCACAAACTTTCCTGCTGTGGCTGGCTTGGAAGCACAATACTCAGATCTCAGCCTCCTGAGTAGCTGGGATTACAGGCGTGAGCCACCAGCACCCCACTCAAACCTGATTCTTGCCTCCTACATATAACCTCTGTCCCTCTAGCCTCTGTCTAGTCCCTGTCTTGCACTAACACCGTTCAAAGGCCCTGCCCCACTTTTCACAATAGCCCCTCCCACCCCCGCACACAGGCTCCTTCTGTGAACTGGTGAGTAAGTTGGCTCAAAGTTTTGCTGAGTCAAATGGAGATGGTCAGAGGGCAAGAAGGAGAGAGAACACTTGGACTCTGGATTCCCTGCTGTGTCCAACTGGTGCTCAGACCTTGGGCTGGTGGGAGGGGTGCACCCACACTGTTGGGGTCTGGAAGCTGGCTCCCAGCTGTCCCCTGTGTCCCCTCCTCAGATATGCCAGCCTCTACTTCTGCTGTGCCATCGAGGGCCAAGACAACGAGCTCATCACGCTGGAGCTCATCCACCGATACGTGGAACTCCTGGACAAGTACTTCGGCAGCGTGAGTCCCCCCTCCTTCCCTGGCTTGCCTTCCCAGCAGGTGTCTCTTCCTGCTAAACGTGTTTTGTTTTTTAGTGCCAGTACCAGGACTTCAACTCAGGGTGTAGGTGCTGTCCCTTAGCTTTTTTTGCTCAAGGCTAGCACTTTGCCACTTGAGCCACAGCTCTACTTCTAGCTTTTTGGTGGTTGGTTGGAGATAGTCTCACAGATTTGCCTGCCCATGTTAGCTTTGTACTGAGCTCCTCAAATCTCAGCCTCCTGAGTAGTTGGTATGAGTCATCAGTACCTGGCTTCTTTCTGATGAACTTTAAGGAAAGCCCGTCCAGCTATTTTCTGCACTAGAAATCTCAAGGGGGAGGTAAAGTTGGAGCAGCGAGAACCCCAATTAATCTCCCCTGTTAAGCTCTAAGCCTATTAGCCAAGTCCCTTAATTGGCCCTGAGGCTTTGGGCGGGGATCAGGGAGAAGGAAGAAAGTGTCCAGTATGAGTCCAGTACTTAATTTCTACTTAGTGCTTGGCTCTCACTTTTTTTTCTTTTTCTTTCTTTTCTTTTCTTTTTTTTTTTTTTGCACCAGTCCTGCTGGGGCTTGAACTCAGGGCCTGGACACTGTCCCTGAGCCTCTTTTTGCTCAAGGTTAGCCCTCTACCACTTGAGCTACAGTGCCACTTCCAGCTTTTTTGAGTAGTTTATTGAAGATAAGAGTGTCACAAGAGCCGGGCGCTGGTGGCTCACGCCTGTAATCCTAGCTACTCAGGAGGCTGAGATCTGAGGATCATGGTTCAAAGCCAGCCCAGGCAGGAGAGACAGTGAGACTCCTATCTCCAATAAACCACCAGGAAACCGGAAGTGGCGCTGTAGCTCAAATGGTAGAGCTCTCGCCTTGAGCTGAAGAGGTGAGGGACAGCGCCCAGGCCCGGAGTTCAAGCCCACGACCGACCAAAAAAAAAAAAAAAGAGTGTCACAGGGACTTTTCTGCTTGAGCTGGCTTCGAATCATGAATTGCAATCCTCAGATCTCAGCCTCCTGAGTAGGATTATAAGCATGAGCCACAGGTACCCACTTTGGCTCAAACTTCTGCATACAAGGACAGAGACCCAGTTCTGATTTTGATAGTGGTTCCTGCTTTTGGCTTGGTATTAGAATCTTCTGGAGGTTTTTTGTTTGTTTGCTAGCTTTTACTTACTTAGTTATTTATTTTATGCTGGTATTCAGGGCCTGGATGCTGTGCCTGAGCTGTTTTGCTCAAGGCTGCTACTCTACCACCAGAGCCACAGCTCCACTTCTGGTTTTTTGCTAGTTAATTGGAGATAAGAGTCTCTTGGATTTTCTTGGCTCAGGCTGCCTTCAAACTACAATCCTCAGGTCTCAGCCTCCTGAGTTTCTAGGATGGCAGGCATGAGCCACTAGAGCCTGGTGTTAGAGGTTTTTTTGCGTGTTTTTTTGTTTTATTTTGGGCCAGTTCTAGGGCTTGAACTCCAGGTCTGAGCACTGTCTCTGAGCTTTTATTTGCTCAACACTAGAGCTTAACCACTTGAGCCACAGCTCCACTTCCAGCTTTTTTTCTTTTGGTGGTTAATTGGAAATAAGAGACTTATGAAGCCAGATACTGGTGGTTCATACCTGTAACTCTAGCTACTCAGGAGGCTGAGATCTGAGGATAGTGGTTCAAAGCCAGCTCAGAAGGAAAGTTCATGAGACTCTTACCTCCAATTAATCACAGAAAAAGCCAGAAATGGCACTGTGGCTCATGTGGTACAGTGCTAGCCATGAATAAAAGAGCTCGGGGACAGTGGCCAGGCCCAGAGTTCAAGCCCCAGGACCAGCACAAAAACAAAGAAAACAAGAGCCTCACAGACTCTCCAGCCTGGGCTGGCTTTGAACCTCAATCCTTAAATCTCAGCCTGAGTAGCTAAGATTAGAGGCTTGAGCCACTGGTGCCTGGCCTTGAAGAGTTTTACAAAATATGGATGCATGGAGATTCCACATTAAGTCATGTAGGAATAGCCCAGGCTTTAGTAGACAGCTCTGATCTTAGATGTGTATTAGTGGAGTTGACTTCACAGCTCATCTCCCACTTGGCAGTTGACAGAGCTCTCTTTTTGGTCTGTATCTGCCCTGTGAGTAGATGCTGATATCCTCATCTTCAGGTGGGGAAACTGAGTTTTAGAGACATTCTGTGATTCTATAGACAGCTGGTTATAGGTAGAGCCCATCTTGGACTCAAGTCTCCTTCCCCCCACAGTGCCTGTGTGTGGAGGGGAGGGTACCCCAGCCTCTTGTAGGAATGGTATTGTAGAATTAGGGGGAAAGCAGAAGGAACTACAATGAATATAGATTAGAACATAATATTTCATGTTCAGAGAGAAAGGCAGGAGGAAGGGAAGAAGGCCTGGCATTGTGGGGCTTGCCTGTAATCCCAGCACTTGGGGCTAAAGCATGATGACCTGGAGTTCCGGGCCACACTGGGCTACATGGCCAGACCCTGTTTTTGTCTGTTATTTTGTTGTTGTTTTTTAAAAAGAAGCTGAGCCCCGGTGGCTCACATCTGTAATCCCAGCTACTGAAGAAGCTGAGATCTTCTGAGGATTGTGGTTCAAAGTCAGCCCAGGCAAGAAAGTCTCTGAGACTCTTCTTCCAGTTAACCACCAGAAAACCAGAAGTGGAGCTGTGTCTCAAAGTGGTAGAGCGCTAGCTTGAGCAAAAGAGCTAAGGGACAGCGCCCAAGCCCTGGGTTCAAGCCCTGCAACCAACCAAAAAATAAATAAAGGCAGGAGTGGGAGAAGATCAAAATAAGGATTAATAAGTATTAAGGCCTGGGGGTTGGGAGCACCCAAGACCAGTATTAAAACACAAGGGGGAGCCGGGCACCTTGGCTCACACCTGTTATCCTAGCTACTCAGGAGGCTCTGATCTGGGGGTTGCTTTTGGGGGGAAGGGGAAGAAGGGAGTTGAAGGGCTTGGACTCTGGGCCTGGGCACTGTCCCTCAGCTCTTCAGCTGAAGGCCAGCACTCTACCACTTGAGCCATAGTGCCATTTCTGGTTTTCTGGTGGTTAATTGGAGAAGAGAGTCTCATGGACTTTCTTGCCCTAGCTGGCTTTGAGCTGTGATCCTCAGATCTCAGCCTCCTGAGTAGCTAGGATTACAGGAGTGAGCCGCCGGTGCCTAGCTTGAGGATTGCATTGCAAAGCCAGCCCAAGCAGGAAAGCCCATAATACTTCAAAAATCTGGAAGTGGAACTGGAGCTGTGGCCCAAGTGGTAAAGCACCTGCCTCGAGGGGAGAACAAAACAAAAAACAAGGTGAGAAGAATGTCATGGAAAAAGTGAGGGGCTGGGAGTGTACCTCAACTCTCCATTCCTCCCCTCCTCCCAGGTATGCGAGCTGGACATCATCTTCAACTTCGAGAAAGCCTACTTCATCCTGGATGAGTTCCTGATGGGTGGGGACGTGCAGGACACCTCCAAGAAGAGCGTGCTGAAAGCCATCGAGCAGGCTGACCTTCTGCAGGAGGTACGGGCCCAGCACAGTGAGGAGGAGGAGGAGGAAGATGGCGGTGGCAGAGGGCCCCCTGCCCGCCCCGAACGCCCTGCTCGTCGCTGGGGGGGCCCTCTTCCCTGCGGCGTGTGGCCCCCCCGCACTCGGGGCTGCACAGTTGGCCTCCAGTCTCTGACCCCTCCCCCTCGAGTATGGACAGGGGTGAAAGACCATCAGGCATCTTATTAATTGTCCTATTTTCTTACCACATTCTCTGTCCTTTGGGACTCAAGGTGTCAGGTCCTGGCTAAATTCCCTTTTTTGACTGCTTTTAATATTTCTCTTGGCCTGCAGTCTTACTCAGAGAACTGGGGCTCCTGGTAGATCAGTGTGGGGTTTTTTTTTGGGGGGGGTAGGGTGGGGGGTTTTTCTTGGTAGATCAGTCTTTGTTTTTCCCCACCTATGGTAGTAAGGACTGAATTGGGTCTTGGGCTTGCCAGGCCAGTGTTCTAGCACTTAACCATATCCCCAGTGAATATCAGTCTCTTCAGGGTCACGCCTATAATCCTAGCTACTCAGGGGGCTAAGAGCTGAAGATCCACAGTTCAAAGCCAGCCCAGGCAGTGAAGTTTGTGATTCATTTATCTCCAGTTAGCCACTGAAAAGCTGGAAGGAGAGCTGTGACTCAAGGGGCAGAGTGGCAGCCTTGAGCCAAAAAGCCAAGCAAGAGAACCAGGCCGCCCTGCGTATAAGCTCTAGTACTGACAACCAGAAAGAAAAAAAAGTCAATCTTCCCTCTGGTTTATTATTATTATTATCATTATTATTATTATTTTGATGAGGCTAGAAATCAAGCCTAGGGCCTTGCACAGGGTAGGCAAACAGCCCACCACGGAGCTACCCAAGCTCTCATAATTCACACTCGCACACACTTACTTAAAAGCCTGGAGATTGGGGCTGGGCAAGGGGGTGTGTGTGCACAGATGTGGGGACATTCTCCTTGTCATTGTGTGCCCCCCGCCCGCACCCCCTCCCCACCCTGCCTGCCCCCTCGCTCTGCTTTGCCACCGGTGAGCCTTGCCGCAGGGCGATGAGTCACCAGAATCCGCAGTGCCTGAGTGAGCTGGCCTGAGCTGTCTGTGGGGAGGGGGAGACCAGCGGAAGTGTGGGGTCATCACTGCAGGAGGAGGGACAGCTTGCCTCCCTGCTGGTCTAGCCACACACACACACACACACATACATGCGCACATACACACACACACACACACCTGGCCTGGCATACCCCACCCCCCTGATTACTAGTAATCTTTTCAGTCCTAATGACTCATCTCTGCAGTGTGGGGACTGGATGCCAACCTCTTATTGCCCTCGACCACCCCCAGCACACCCCAACAAACAGGGCCCAGCTCTCAGCCCCTGCAGCCCCCTGGAAAGTAGGCTTAGGCCCTGAGGCTGAGCCCCTATGTACCCTCCCCTCTCCCCTCAGCTCTGGGCTTCGGGTTCTGGGTGCTGGTGGACTCTCCCTTCCATGCTGCCTCTGCCACTTTGGGTGCTGGGGGTGGTGCTGGGAGGTGGGTGAGCCCCCCCAGGGCTCCCCCTGCTCCTGCCTTGGCTCATGTTGGCTTCTCTTCCCCCAACCCTGTGTCTCTCTGCCTCCCTCCTCTCCCCTTTGTGTCTGCCACCGTCTCGCCCACCCTGCCGTGTGTCTCTCAGGAGGACGAATCGCCGCGCAGTGTGCTGGAGGAAATGGGTCTGGCATAGCCCCTGCTGGCCCGGCCCTGTGAGATGGGGGAGCCTTCACCCACCTTCCCTCCCCACCCCACCCCTGCCCCGCCTTTCTCTTGGTGGGACCCAGCTGTCCCTCCTCGGCCACCTCACCTCTGGAAGGGGCTGTGGGCCCAGGCCCTTGAAGCATTCCCTCCCGCCACCACCTGCCATTCCCACTGAAGAAATGTGACCCAGACAGGGGGTGCTATTTGGCTTCCATTCCCTGCCTTTGAAGAACCAATGTTATCCCCCCCCCCAAAAAAAAAATCTTCCCTCCCATAGCAATCACTGTAAATATATAAATATTATCAGGTTAAAGGGAAAAGGTTTTCAGGGCTCTTCTGCCCCCTCTGCCCCAAAACCTACCTCCACCCCTCCCCCTAGCCAGCCAGGGCAGCTTCTCTGCCTCGAGGGGGGTCCTTTTCCCTCACCATCCCCACTTCCTCCTCAGCTGCGGTCGGGCCTCTGCACGGTGCCAGGAGGAACAGCATAGTTCATTTTTTTCTAACCTTGCCCCTGCTGAGGGAAGGGACCAGGGAAGGGGGGGCCTTTGTGGGACACAGGCCTGGGCTGTCTCCTCCACTCCATATTCTGGGTGTGGCTGGAGGGGTGGGATGGGGTGGGGTGGGCCAAGTCTTTGCCTTCATTTCCTTTCTTCTGAAATAAAAGGAAAAAGCATTTCTGGAGTTGCTGTGCCCTGGGCTTTGTGAAGGAAGACAGGGCCTCGGGTGTCCATGTGAAGTGGAGCCAAGGGCACCCTGCCCGTTGGCCTCTTCTCCAACACTGGGGTTGCCAGATTTAGGAAGGAAAAAAAAAGTTACATGTGAATGTCACACTAGGTTTTTCTGTTTGTTTTTTTCTTGTGCCAGTCCAGAGGCTTGAACGCAGGGCCTGGGCACTGTATCCTATCTTTTTCACTCACCACTGGTGGTGCTCTACCACTTGAGCCATAGTTCCACTTCTGGCTTTTTGGTGTTTTAAGTGGAGATGAGAGCCTCGTTGGACTTAACAGCCCTTGGCTGGCATGGAACCTCGATCCTCAGCTGTCCTCCCGTTTTTTCTCTGGCAGGTTGCCTTGCTGGCAATGTGCCTGACAGGACTGCTCACCCAGGGTTAGGGAGGAGCAAGTCCTGGGCTCCACTTCCGGTTTCTTTAGAGGATTTCCGGTGCCCAGATTCTTGTTAGTTGGAGGTTATCCATTCCAAGGTTATATCAGCTTGGGAAGCTGATAAGTAACCAAAACAAGGCTTTGGTAAGGGTTTAGGTGAGAAAAGGACCGCACAGAAAATAATAAAAAGATTGACAGGAAAGTTTATTGGGGTCCGCACCCCGGCTGGCTACCTGGTTGGGATCAGAGAGGTTGCACTGAGTTTGGTTGTAGCAGAGCTTTTATAGGCAGGGTATAGATAGAACTTGTAGTCAATGGGGACTTGTAGCATGTAGCTTGTTTTGCCCACTGAACGGTTTTAGGCGATGCACACAAAGAATGGTTGACTCAGATGGTGTTTTTGATAGGGACATGGTTTTTTGGCAGCAGCCTGTTGTCCCCCCACCCCCACATTTCCTCCAGCGGCCTGACAGCTTTCACCACATTCCTGGGAAGATACCTGGCAACTGGGGAGCTTTAGTGAAGTGGGGGTACAACTAGTTGGAGCAAGGCCTGTGGGAACAGGACCATAAAAAGATCCAAGTCCGGGCTGGGAAGGTGGCTCAGTGGTGGAGCGCTTGCCTTGCATGCCTGAGGCCCTGGGTTCGATTCCTCAGCACCACATAAGCAAAAAGAAAAAAGCTGGAAGTGGCACTGTAGCTCAAGTGGTAGAGCGCTAGCCTTGAGCTGAAGAGCTGAGGGACAGCGCCCAGGCCCAGAGTTCAGGTCTCACGTCCAGCAAAAAAAAAAAAAAGATCCAAGTCCCCAGAGGTGCAGTGCTGAGTCCTTTTTCTTTTTTTTTTTTTGGAGGTCATGGGGCCTGAACTCTGGTCCCAGGCGCTGTCCCTCAGCTCTTCAGCTCAAGGCTAGCGCTCTACCACTTGAGCCATAGCGTCACTTCCGGCTTTTTCTGCTTATGTGGTGCTGAGGAATCGAACCCAGGGCCTCATGCATGCAAGTCAAGCACTCTACCACTGAGCTACCTTCCCAGCCCTCCTTTTTCCTTTTGAACCAGCTTCCTGGGCTCGTTCACTGCGACAACTGGCTCTTGGTAGTCTTCTCTTCTGCCAAATGCTGGGCAATGTTTTCCAACCTCACCACCCAACACCCCAACATCCTGGGGCTTGGGCTCGGGGCCTCACCCCCTCCCTTAGCTTTTTGCTCAAAGTTGGTACTCTGCTATTTGAATCACAGCGCCGGTTCCAGCTTCTTGCTGGTTAGCTGGAGATAGTCACTCCAGACTTTTCTGACGCGGCTGGCTTCGAACCTAGATCTTCAGATCTCAGGTTCCTGAGTAGCTAGGATTACCAGGCGCGAGACACCTGCATCTGACGCAGTGGGGTTTCTCAGCGGGAAACCTCCAGCCCCTAGGTGAGCTTGCTCTCCTTGGGCTGCCCGCCGGGCGCTCCCCTCACCGCCCCTTGGGAAGGGCCACAGCTGGGCCCAAGGGGACGGGTGAATAACGGAGAACAAAGTCCTAATAAAATAGTCACTTTTATTTCTTAGCAAAACTATTTCCTCCGTGAGGGGTATTTACAACAGAGAAAGGAGAAGGAGAAGTTCACAGCGATTTGGAGAAGGTGGAGAGGCTCACGGGAGGCCCGGAGGGCGGCAGACAGACACACTTCCATCACAGGATCAGAGCTGCTTTTACCGGTTTCGGACGGGGACGTCCCGAGGGCGACCAGAGGGGAGACAGGGCCCTGCGGGGGGAGGGACCGCGCCCGGACCACCCGCCCACCCCGGCTGGCCGGGGAGTGGAGGCGTCGGAGCCGGGAGGAGGTCTGGCAGGGCCCGGCCTGGCGCGGCGGGGGCGTGGTCTGGACGGGGGCGGGGCCCCGGAGGGGCGGGGCCTGGCGGTCCGGGAAGGGGCGGGGGCGCATGCAAACACAGGGGCGGAGGGGCGACACGGAGGGGGTGTGGCCGCGCGCGGCGGGGGCGGAGCCCGGCGAGTCACGGGCGCCGGAGCAGCACGTGCTCGATGTAATTCTCCAGCTCCTCCTGCTCCTGCAGCCGGCGCTCCTCCGCCTCCGCCTCCGCCTGCGCGCGCCGCGCCTCGGCCTCGGAGTCGGGATAGTGGCGCGAAGGTGGCAGGGCGTGGTGGAAGTGGCGGCGGCGGGAGGCAGCGGGCGGCTGCAGCGTCCGCGGCCGAATGTAGTTGGGAAAAGGGTGGTAGGGCCCCGGGGGGAATGCCGCGTCCTCCTCGCGGTCCCAGGGCGGCAGCACTTCGTTCCAGTCCGGCAGCTCCTCCCGGGCGGGGGCGGGCGCGGGGGGCGGGGGCTGCGGGGAGCGGACGTGGGCGGGGGCGGCACGGGGGGGCGGCACCGGTTCTGGGGGGGCGTTCTTCTTCCGCTTCCGCTTCTCCTCCACCTCCTCGATGATGCTGACCACGTCGTCGGCGGGCAGGTGGAGTTTGGTGGACAGCTCGATGAGGCTGTCGATGGTCTGCGGGTCCATCTCGTCGTCATCGTCGTCCTCCCCGCCCTCCGCCGGCCCCTCCGCCTCTTTGCGCCGGTGGCCCGGCGTCTCCTCCTGGGAGCGCTTGTCCTCGGCCCCGGCTTCCCCATCCTCCTCGTCCTCCTCCTCCGCGAACAGGAGTGCGTTCTGCCGCGCCCTCTCCGCCTCCTCGGCTTCGGCCTCCGCCTCCGCCGCCTCCTCGTCCTCCTCCTCCTCCTCCTCCGCCCTCTCCTCCCCGCCGCGCCTCTCCTGCTCCGCCTCCTCCCGCTCGCGCTCGGGCTGCGTCTCCGGCTGCCCCCGACCCCCGGGGCCGCGCGGCCGCGCTCCGCTCTGCAGCAGATACTGGAGCAGCAGGTCGGAGGCGAGGTCGGCCAGACGCTCTTCCTGGGCTGCGGCCTGGCGCGTGGCCTCCGCCTGCCGCCGCCCAGCCTCGACCTGCGCTAGCCCCTGCTGCAGCAGGCGCTCCCCGGCCTCGGAACCGCCCAGGAGCGGGCTCTCCGGCCGGCGCGCCTTGGGAAAGGGGGCGCTCAGGCCTTGGTATACCTTGGATAAGGGCGTCAGAGCCTCGCCCAGGTGTGATTTGGGGGAGGGCAGTCCTTCCCCGAACTGAGGGGCTTCGGGTAGGGGCCCCTTCTCGGGCACGCGCGCCTGGAACTGCGAGGGGGTCAGGGGCGCGCGCTCTGGGACGCGCGCCTGGAACTCTCCCCAGGACGCGCGCCACACGCGCTCGGGCCCCGGGCTCTCCAGATTGACTCGCGTCAGCGTGTGCGTGCGGGTCTCCGTCTCCGCCGCTGCGGTCTCCTGCTGGCGCTTCGCGCTGCTCGGGCTGAAATCGCGAAGTTCCTGGAGCAGCGCCGCGAGCGTCTCCAGCTCGTCCGCGGGGCTCCCGGCCTCGGCGCCGTTCTCCTGGGTCTGCGCGTGAGGCGGAGCCGCGGGCACCTGGACCTCCGGCGCCGGGAGGCTGTGGGTCTGGCTGCGCACCGTCTCGGTCAGCAGAGCTTCTGCCGCTTCTCCAGCTGGCTCCTGCGGGGAACCACCCGGCGCTGGGGGCGACGCCGGGCGGTCGAGTGCCTGCAGCAGCACCGCGGCCAGCGCCCGAGGATCCACGCCCTGGAAGAGCTCTCCCTGGTCCTGCGGCTCGGAATTCCGAACGGCTCGGACTTCTGGAGCGCTGTCATCCCCTGGCCCGGGCACTGCGTCCCCAGTTACCGGCTCTTTATGCTCAGAGCTGAGAGGAGGCGGCTGCGCCTCTGGGCGCCCGGGGGGCGCGGCCCCCACCCCCTTGATTAGCAGAAGGAAGCAAAAGAGGACGGAAGCCCGCAATCTCAGGGATTTCATGACCGAGGGGCTGCCGGAGACTGGAAAATAGAAGGGGCCAGAGGGAGAAAGAGGGGGGTTTCTGTAAGAATTCCCAGCTCTCTTATTCCTGTGCTCCCTTCCCCCCACCTTGAAGCAGGGAAATCCGGGGCTTCCCTCATCCCGCTTAATCTTACCCAAAAGAGGGACGTGTAGGAGCAATCGAGGAAGATGCGCCGTTCTCTGGAGTCTCCACCCACCACCTCGCTCACCCCGGGCCACCTCGCCCCCTTCCCCGAGCCCCCTCGCTGCCAGCGCCCACGTACTAAGCACGGATAAGGGGGGGGAGCGCTGCCCGCTCCCCGCAGGACTCCCCGGATGGTGCGTGGGCGACTTCAGCAGCGAGAAAAAAATGCTGCGACTCCCCTCCCCATTTACCGGGGACCCTGACGAGGGGCACCCCGCTGTGTTTTCAACACCACCACCCCATCTGGGAGGAGAGAGAGAACCCTCCCTCCCTCGCACCCACGACCGGGGGTTGCGGGGACAAACAGCGGAGTATTTACCAGCCGGTGTCACGACGCGGAAAGTGGAGAGGAGGATCGGGGCCGGGGCAGGGTGGGGGTCGGGGGGGGAGATCGGGACCGGTCTGCCCTGGCTCCGAGCGACGGCTGGAGTACGAGAGGCGGTCGCGGTCTGTCGTC